AATGTCTATGCACCTGTGCTAACTGATACTATGGTGCAATCCAAGTGACAATAAGATGTTACCCATACCCACAACAAACTTGCTTATGAATTTCTCTGTAAGATACAGTTGTCTTGTTCTTTACAATGAATAGTACTCATCATCTTATCGTAGCCTATATTCCTCTTCTGGACATACCGTTTTGAGTATAGGGTTAAGATACTTTCACATAATTGGCATATCAGTATCACTCAAGAATTAATGACTCAAAGCTGTTAGATGCCCACACAAATTCCATTGACATTTCTGTTTCTTCACACATATAACACCACACAAAAGAGGTAAAAAGGAAAAAACACAAATAAATATTAATCCACTGAACCACCATGAAAACTAGGCCACACATATCAAATTCAAAAGAACAAGAGAGTGAAATACCTGTATGTAGAATGAAAAAATATTAAAAATCTATAGGTGTTGGAGCACAACAGGAAGCACTTTCCCATCATCTTCAAAAAACACTGCAGTTAGGGTTACTACCTGCCTTTCTACAGCGCAAAAAAAAAAAAAAAAAGTCTCAAAGAAGAGAAATGATTTTAAAACCTAGTTTTAGAAAGTTGTGTAACCAGCAGCATATTTACTTCTTGATTTGGAAACAGCAAATTGAAAAACAGTGCATATGTAATAGCTGATACTTGTCAGTTTTTGAGACAACTGACAGTATCAGCTGGATAAGTAACCTGTGCACTCACTGGTCACATCAGTGCTGCTTTATCCATAAGAAGGTATTCTGAAGCCTGAGAGATAGTTCAACAGTGTAAATAAGTGTCAGAAAGAAAGGAACAAAGTCTATTTTTTTCTCCCTGTTGAACACCAACAATAATACTCTGCAACAAATCATTATTAGCCCTGACATTTATAGTAAAGGTCTACTAGTGAATCAAGACTAGAAAAAGAAAGGAAGACAAGGAGCCAAACACCAGTCACTCAGTGAAGAGCAGGACCAGAATATCAGACATGTTATGAATAAGGGTGTCAGGCGCTGGCAGATGTATTGAGGAAAGCAGTTGTTCACTTCTGCTATGATTAATGGAGCACAACACATTGGGGCTGGGGTCCGAATACCAGAAGCTCAGTACTAGTACAAAACTGAAATATAAGATAAAGTTTATAAATAAAAATATTTATTCTTGAAAGCATTGTAAAAATGTTTTGGAGCTAAAAAATGAAATGTGCAAACACTGTAAGAATCAAGAATTTCTTGGTACATGAAATTAAAATATTTATATTCTGAGCACAGGGAAAATGTTTTAAAAGTTTTACTTACTTTGGGTGGGTAAATTCGTCGACTAGGACAACCTTTTCTATCAGGTCTCCACCAATGGTTCGAGCCAAATCATAGAAATCATTCTTAGAGTATGTCTCTGAGGGCAGCCAAAAGGAGATGTCATTGATCAAAGGTGGATATCTGCTCAGTGGCTAAAAAAAATTAAAAACCATACCTTTATAAGTGGCTGGACTTGGTAGGTATACCTACAACTGTCTTGAACTTGTGTATTACACACAGCACACATTTTAGAAGCTTTCTGAAATACTTTTTGAAGTTGCAAACTGACCTCATAAACAACTGAGATGCAAGATTTTATACTAGGAAATGTCTTTTATAGATGCCCTCTTAACCACTTTGATTCATTCATTTAGAAGAAAAAACTTGTTTTGTTTGCTGAAATCAACATTTATGAGCCTGAATTCACTTTTTGACCAGAACTGTTTAAAAGGAAGGATCATTTTAACATGATTATTTACTGGGTAGCATTGCATTTTTTTAAAGCATTTTTCAGATTTTTTACAGAGTCAAAAAATATTATCATATTCATGTATAAAATGTATATGTATTTTATATCATTCTTATATAACACAATATGTTTATTATTTATACTGTCCAATATCTAAGAAAGTCTTATCAACAGGTGCGTTCTTATTAAAAGGTTACAACAAAAGGTTACGCTTTGGCTTAAAAGAGGGATCAGTTCACTTCCCAGTGGTTTCTATAAACATCCAAACATCGACGACAACAAAAAAGTATTGCTGTTAGCATAATTATTTATTCCACAGGTACCACAACAGACCCTTAACATAAAGGGGCATCTTTGCTGCAGACAGAAAGACCTCATCTTGTGGTCAGAACAGTGTAACTTCTTATTTGCAGAAACAGGAAAAGAGAGAGAAACAAAACACGGCAATTATTAATTTTTCAGTTTTGATGAAACTTCCCTGGAGTCAATGGGTTTCGCATCTCGCCTTTGCTGAGACGTTTCCCCCTTTGAAGAAATCAAAATGGTAATGCTCTTCTTTCATGCCCTCTAGGTCATGCAATATCTTACTTATGCCTTCCATTAATGCACTGCAGTTGAAATAAGTACTTTCTCACAAGATTGTTGGGGTCTGCAGGAGAAAACATCTTTTCTTATTTTGCTTATATGTATACGACAGTTGATGTGTACACCTTGGTCTATACAGTATATTATTTCACTCAAAAATGTATTCCATGCCTGGGAATGTTTTATGATGGAGCAGTGAAATCCTAAGTGAATACCTGCTAAAGCAATAAACCTGTTAAAAAGGCAAATTTACAGCATGCTGATTTACTCAAATCCTGTTCTGTACAATGTAAACCAGTCAATAAATATCTGATAAGGAATACAAGTGTAAGTTTTAAATTAATAACCCCTGGTGAATAAAATTGTGAATCACAAATAATTATTCAACTTGTTAAAGGAATGAACTTGTCAAATGAATTCATATCACCAAATTAAACAAAAAAACAAAAAAACAAAAACTTGCACAATAAATCCATCACACAAGAGCTTTTGATAAAACACTAAAGAATTAAATTCAAACATTTCCTCTTCTATACAAAAGTCACAGCTGCAAATGCACTCCTCAGTCAAAAAACCGATACGTGTGTTAGTGTAAATAAAGATACAACCCTGTAGCAGACCTCTATATTCTCATCTCACCCCTATCTATCACTATACTTACCACTGCTGTATTTCAGCAACGTACTGAACACACTTCAAAGCTTGAAGCGATTAACCCAAAACTCACTGAACTCCCAGCTTCAGGACATTTAACTATTCAACCAGAAGACACGGCTCAGGAGCCTAAGCATGACCACTCAATTTGGGCAGGTGCTTACTTTCGTTCCCAGAGGTACAAGGACACTAAAGAAAAATAATTACACATTCAAGTAGTAACTGAGCAATATCCTAAACCCTGAAAAGAGCAGAGTACCCACAATTCATAGCGAGTGAGTATTTGCTATCAATTTCAAAAGAAGCAGGATTATGTCAGGCACATGAAAACAGCACTCTTTTTTCTGCCACTTAAAATGAGACGTACACAAGGATCCAATCTGGTCAGATCTTGCAAACGTACCTGGAACAGTCTGTCTTACACTATCAGCATCATCAAATTCCATGTGAGCAAAGCTACTCAAAGATGTAATAAACTGTAGGGTCTGTAGATTATCAAATCTATAAGGAAACTGCTTCTTTGCCTCAATCCATGGCGTTACTAGCCTAGATAGAGAATTGTAATTTTGTGTGTGCACACACATGTGTACAGTCGTGTGTGTTACAAAGACAGGATGGACAAATGCTTACAACAGTAAGCATTTCTTTTTTATTATTATGTACTAGCCTTTTCACAGAGCCTTATAATGCAGAAAAATCTTTTATGGTAAAAGGCAAGGCAATAATCCCATATTATACTGGCCCTTCACCACCTGGCTGCAGTCAATATCATTGCAGTAAGTATTATATCAACACTAAAGTTAGTATAAGGATAAAATTCCTACTTCTCAAACGCATCGATCTGTTGTCGTAGAGCTACATGAGCTACATAATTGTTTATTAGCTATGTCTAAAACACGAAGAGGATAGGAACAAGAGTCTCCAACTGGCAGGTCAAAATGAAATTATTAAGTTTATATTCAGACACCCCAGCAAATATATGTGGTCAAACACATCCCGTTGCCATCACTGTCCTCCCTTCTAAAATCTCCTGCCCTTAAACAACAGAGCAGTCTAAAGTCCATCGACTTCGATCCCTTTCTAGGTTCAAGGCAAGTCGGCTGTCTTCGGCAGCCCCGAAGACTGTTTCCTTATGAATTTACAGACGTTTTAAAGGCTCCCCTTAAGAGCAACGTGTTCTTCCTGCTACATTTTCTGCTCTGCTGTCAACTCCAGCCACCACTTCCACCTACGCTCCTCTTGCCAACTTAGGTGTGCTCCAGCACAATGCTTGGTAGAAGCTAACAGGACAATGTCTGGCTCTGCTGCCTGTATGATGGCCAACTCCCAGGACACTGCCCAAGCCTGGAAGCTCCGCCATCCCTCCTTCCACTGCCTAACCACCCCCCCTTAGGTTTTTGGGGAACTGAAAAGAGGTTTAGGAAAAGGTAGAACTCACCGCACCTGCCGAGTGCTGCTGTGAGGCACTGGCCAGGCCTGGCAGACAGCACTGACGATGCACAGACAACTCTGCACCACTTCTTTGGTCCCATCAGACCTTTGTCACCACAGTGCTACTTTAAATGTTCTCTTTACTTTCCATTTCAAATACTGCAGTGCACTATCTTTGACATTTTTGAACAGCCTCGGAAAACAGGAGCGCTTTCCCAGTAATTACACTATCTATAGGACTCCACTGAGCCCACGTTGTAGGGAATATTGCAAACAATGACATCGCATTTTTCAATCACCCGTGGTGAAAGCATTTAGGAGTACTGAATTGCTATCATCTTTTTTAATAATAAAATGGAAGCTTATGATGATCCATTCTCAATGATACATGTTTACTAGTCATTAGTCACACTTCCTTCTGTGGTTAATAAATAAGCCAAGTACTTACTAAAACCACAAGCTTTTCTCTCTCAGGATGCTAATTTTAGTACAGAAATGAGTAGTTGGAAACCAGTGCTGTACCCTGCTCTGCCAGGCTGCCTCGGCCATGCCTAGATGTACCTGCGGAGTGCTTCACTGAAAACTCAGGGCTGTGACTCTTCTACGTGGGTTTGTGACAGTTTAGGGCATCCCTCATCCCCAGCCCTCTGCTACACCTTCCTGTCCGAAATTACTGCCCCTGCAGCAGCTGATAAAACAAACACGGGCCTATTCTTCCACCACTGCAGTTCACAGCCATGCTGTAGCTAGCTGAAAATTGCCTCTCGCAGTGGTTTATGCTAATAAATGCTGGATGAAGTATTGCAGCAGCTTGAGGCATTGGGGGAAAGCTGTCTCAAGCAGCCACAGGGTCCACCAGAACTCATCTGTCAGCATAAAACAGCAAATACTTGGGCTCTGCGTACATTGCCATAGGACACCACTTTGGACACCTTGGCAGTGGTCATCATAAGAGTCTCTGTTCATTCGCACACGGTAAAGGATCATCAGGTAGCCTGGATCCAGATACCTCACAGTGGCACATGACAGAAAATACAATGCATGGCAGAAGCCCCCACACCTCTGGAGGAGAAGCAGCTGGGGCTAACGCACAGCCAGTGCCAGCGAGTAAGCCTGCAGAAGGCTTACTTGCAGAAGTGTCTTCACCCAGAGTCCCCAAAACCAGGATGAACTGCAGCACTTTCCACAAATATTTGGCATTAGGAAAAAAACCCCACATTTTCCCAGATGCAGTAACCATGAGCGCAACATGCTGAGGGGACAGAAGAAGTTTTGTGCTGTGGCTGTTCACTCAGTTCCCTCCCTGCTGCCAGCTGCAGGTATGGCGACACAATGAACGAGCAGCAAACACGGTGGAGGAAAAAGCCGTACTTGTATTTTGACAGCAGCGACACAAACACAAGGTTAATGATGACACGTATCAAAAACTGGGTTAGCAACTCCACAGCAGCCAGACTATTAAAAAGCCAGCCATGCTTTACTGCCACCCCCAGTCTAAGTCAGAAAAAGATGAGACTCAGCAGCATTGTGGTTGTCAAGCTTTAACAGTCCTGTATTGCCTATGCTTTGGAGAAATATCATAGAATCATAGAACGGTTTAGGTTGGAAAGGACCTTAAAGATCATCAAGTTCCAAGCCCCCTGCCATAGGCAGGGACACCTCCAACTAGACCAGGTTGCCCAAGGCCATGTCCAGCCTGGCCTTGAA